AATGAGGGGGACAGAGCAACAGAGAAGGGGACCGGCGATGCACGAGGGACGGAAGCCAGATCGCTTGCATAAAATGGAAACATTAAAACAGACGACACATTTGTTTCTGGCTGTGTAGGAAATACATGAGTCTTATAGCTGACCCTGTTTCTGAATTCTCATTTTGTTTCCCCTAAATGAGAGTCAGGATGAGGATCAAAAAAAAAAAAAAAATCCAGTACGTGTATATTTTCACTGGAATTCGGGTCATTCCTTGGTTGGATGCTATATGGTAAATGTCTAATTGGCTGACTGGCCAAGGACATCACAGTCGGGAGAACGAGGATGCTGTGCTCTAGGCTGCGGGCCAGTCCCAGGCCCCTGCGTTTCCATATTCAGTTTGCCACTGGAGCCTCTGAGAAGCTCAGGGGAGCTCTTGCCTATCTCTAGCTCATGTGTCACGATTACAGCCCTGTTGTCCATGTGGCCATGGGAGCATCTAGAAACCATCAGGCAAGGTGTCAGAGAAGCCAAGAGGCAGAAGAAGGTGATGAGTGCAGAACAGTCCTGAGCTTGAGTCCCTCTGTGCCCTGACTGCGCGCTCGGGGACAAATCACAAAGTCCTCCGAGCTCATTGCAAAATCAGAGCGGCATGAATCACCGTGCCTGGCCCGTGGAAGACGCCCGTAAGTGGGAGTTTTGCTGTCATTTGCTATCATTACGATCAAACTGCAAAGCTGAGGTTCCCGCGGGGGCATCTGGGGAGAGCCCACAGCTTCTACACACTTCAAGTGAGGCTGAAGAACATGGCAGAAACCCGTGGGCATTGTGGAGGACTAACTTTTCCCGTGAACCTACTAGTTGCCAGGCTTCCTGGAAAAGAGTTGCACAGGCTTATTTAATTCTCACAAATTTTCTAAGAGGGGAGAACCGTGTCCCCATTTTACAGACAGAGAATTGGGCCATAGCTTAGGGAGAGACGATGAGTTAGGATTTGCACCCAACCCCGAGAGCCTGGGCAGCCAGAGAAAGCATTAACATCACAAGCCCCAGAAACCATCATTCCCTCGGGGATCCGGCAGATGCCCCTCCCGTGTCCTCCATTCAGCGTTTACCCCGGGGCCACCCGTCTGCATGTCTGCCACGAGCCTCAAAGGCAGATTCTTGTTCTGGTCACCGGTTTATTCCCCGGGATCAGCGCGGTGTGAGGCCTGGAGAGATGGCCTTTTGGATAGGTGATAACGAATGAGCGAGGTTACGCGATTGTAGGAATTCATGCAGAATCTCTCTGCCTCCTTTTCCTCCCGTTACACGGTTGAATCCACCCCTACCTTATAGGGCCGTTTTGTGAGAATCAAGTGGAATAATGTTTGTAAAGCGCTTGCGGCAGGGCTGGCACATTTGGCTATCATAATCAGCATGTCTGCTAGCTCACCATCACACAGCCATTGCGGAGCAGAAGCTGGTGCGTAGTCAAAGCAAACCTATGTTTGTTGTAAGATGAAAGAAATGCAGGGCGGGGGAAAAGGAAGGAGGGAGGCAGGGAGGAAGGAAGGAAGGGAGGGAGGGAGGGAAGGAGGAATATTTATTTAATGGATGAATGAAAGGGTGATGTATCTTATAGACATTAATTAATACAGCCCTTTGCTTTTTCCAGAATGCCATAGAATCCGTATTGTTAGGGTTGCCAGACTGAGCGAATAAAAATACAGAATGCCCAGGAAAATCTGAATCTCAGATAAACAATGAGTACCCTTTTCAGTAAAAATATGGCCCCTGCAACGCTTGGGACAGCTTATTCTAAAAACTTACTTGTTGTGTATCTGAAATTCAGATTTAACTGGGTACCCCGTATTGTATTTGGTAAGTTTACATGCTGTTCACCCTGAATGTGTGTTTTTATCAAGTCACCCACAACAAAGGTGACAGTTACTGGACTAGAATTCATTTTTGCCCTGCATTTCAAGGCTAGGTGTGCTTTAAACGTGTACACTGGATTACACGATAATGACTATAATTTCAAGTCCTTGTGCATTTTAGACTCATTGATTTGCTCTTTGTTTAATTTCTATTATTCGAGAGCGTGTGGTTTTTAAAGGTATATGCAGATACTTACTGAAATCGTTTTAGATTACTTCTGTCCTAAAATAGGGATGCGCATTTAACATCATCTAATTAATTTTTAATGAAAAGTTGCCTTTAATATTTGGCAGAGCCTTTTGCAGGATTTACGACCTATCTAAGAAAGGAAAGGAAATTCAGGCCAAAATTTGCGTCTCACAGAGAACAGAGATAGGGCAAAGCTCCCAAGTTTTCCATAAAATCTTGACCATGCTTTCTAAAACATCATGTCATTTTGTACAATTTGCGCTATCATGCATACCAACGAAAATTAGAGTTCTGGATAACAGCAATCTCATTTTGTGATCACTTAAAAACCTATCTGCTTAATTCTAAGCAGTGGACAAGGTACTGTGTGGATGCTGTCCTAAGGGAGGACCTCGAGGGTGAAGGAATTCTTCCTGTACGTGGCCCGAGGATCAGAAAGCCCCCCCCCCGCCACCGTGCAAATGTGGGAGCTAGTCAGGCAGACTGTAATATCTTTAGTATTAACACAAACACACCATGCACACGCACCATTTTTTGTGTACACATAACACACGTATACACTTATGGTTCTGAATGAGTCTTAAATACTCAAACTTTCTTTTTCCTTAAATACTCAAACTCAGTCCTATTTCACGAGCACAGCGTCACGGTGTTTATCTAAGAATGGAGCTTTGGTTTCATATAATGATAACTCTGTGACGTGGGGCCTCCGCAGTCCAAACCAGAAATGTTTATTTTGTACACATGCAGAGGGATGAGAAAAGAGCTGTCCTATCCATGTGTTTAACAGATTTGTTAAGTGCCTTTTATGTAGGTTTTCCCAAATGATCAGTTTACCTTTGCTTCCTTAGAAGAGACATGCATGTTTCAGATTTTGACTAAGGCTTTCTTTTTCTCCCATCTTTCTACTTACGTATCGCAGTGTTTTGGCAGTGATATTAATTTTTTTCAAAGAATGATTACAGACCTAACAGGTGGAAAATTGGTCTTTATTGTAGCACAAATAAACATTCCCTATTTGTCCTCTTCACCATGGTTTGGACCTACCACTATGGGATTGGAAACATGTCTCTTCTCACTGGGTATTCTGTATATATCCACCTTTTTTTTTTTTTTTTTCCAAGGACCAGAAAAGTATAATAGCAAGTTACATACGATATAAAATGTTATATAGCAAATAAATAGAATGTTGCCAAGCCCCAAGCTCACTTATAGATTCAATAGATGAATTTTGGCTTTTCTTTCAATGGTGTGAGCTGAACAGATCATGCTTGGAAAGCAAGAGATGAATCTGCTAGTAACACATTTTAATTATCATGATAAAAACATGCAAACAAAACAACAGTCTTCATTTGGACCCAAGGAGCCGTTAGTTATAGGATGGGATCCCCTTTCATCAGAAGCTCTTAGATCTTCTTAGTGAGGGGACAGTCCCAGATTTTCACCCTTTATTTCCTCTTGACCATCCTCACACTTGGCAACCCCCCACACCTGGCCGCGAGGTGAGCCCGAAGCCACACCACGGAAGTACCCCTCCTCTGCCTGGAACTCGGCTACGGCTCAGACCTTTGTGGCTTGATCCAAAAATCTCCTATTTAGAAACAAAAGCTCTGACACTAGGGGCTAGTGAGGGCTTATATGTTACACTGACTGCTGATGCTCTTACTGCGAAGTGACCCAAAGAACGAATCGGTCACCTAGAGTGATGGAAACTGGACTCGAACGTGCGGAAGCTTTAAGTCAAGTCAGGTCCCTGTCCGGGGTGGGGCCCGAGGTGAAGCCGAGGAGGAGGACAACCTGAGTGTGTGGAGGCCCCTAGCATGTAGGGGGTATCATGCTGAGAGAAGGAAGTGGACAAAATACAGAAAAAAAGAAAAAAAAAAGAAAAAAAAGAAAAAGGAGATGAAAGGAGTGTGTGAAGGACCCAGCCTGGAAAACATCTGGAAGCAGCTGGTGTGACCAAGTCTGCCAACGTATTTGACCTTGGCTTCTGTCCTCTTTCCTGGAGGTGACATAGAGAGTCTGGGCACTGGTGACTATACAAGGCACAGAACTTCTATGATACATGATGCAGATGAACTTGAAGCTGTGGGACCGACCCCATGTGCATCAGCAATGGGTGTTCAGAAAGTCATCTGTTTCTTTAGGTAAAGGAAACTCAAGGGTATGCAGTTCAGCTACCTTGGTTAAACGTGGACGCTGATAATAGTCTATCTGAAAGCAAACCAGAGGACGAGAGAAGAAAACACGCTTCCTCTCTCTGGACCTCCGTGTTCTGCAGAGCATATTTTCCTGCTGTCTGACTGACTACACAGGGCAGCAGCTCTTTCCTAACAGACCTAATGGAGGCAAGAAACAGAGGGACGGGAGGGGAAGGGAGCAATCGGCCCGAAAGGAAGCCGCAAAAAGCATGAATTACAAGTAATAATAATCATAAAGTTCACGAGCTGATGGAGCGATCTCTGCATAGCAGCTGCCCCCAGGAACTCTACAGGGTTCGTCCTGCAGCTCACCCTTCGCTCCCGATCTAAGTCATTAGCATCGCTATGGGAAGGCGAGGGGGTGAATGGGACAGTGACGGAAGTCCGTACGTATTAATTAAAACGAGGTGTAGCCTTGGCTGGACCATCAGAGCTGGGCCCTGGGTCAGGAAGGAGGTCACGTACCACGCAGTGGGGCTCTGTGAACTCCATGTCTCTGAACCCATTTCCTGCTACTCATCACCGACCCTAACCGGGGGACAGTGAGATACTTAGGACTTATGTTCTAGTCTCTCATACCAATAAGTCCTATTCCAGCAGGCTACGGTCCTCTTGGTACCGAGACACATGAGCTGCCTCTACACGGACCCATCTCCCATCAGGACGTTCCTTGCAAGGCTACTGGGCCATCACCTGGGAGCAAACCCGTACCTGCAGAGCTACTCTTCATCCACGTCCGTTACAAACTGTGAATGGTGCTCGGGTGACTTGCTGTGCGTTTTGCTTAGGTGGAGTTTTACCGCGTGTTTGCTCACAAATGTCCGACAGCACAACTTACACTTGAATTTAGAGTCTGTGTCCTCTTCGCCAGCTATGGTTTCCGGAGACCTCTGAGCCGACGACACCCGGGAGATCTCTGGTTCCGCCTTGCTTTGCTGTTCCACGGCCACGCGGGTCATGTCCTTCATTTGGAAACCCAGGTGCGACTCTAAGTGACTGATGTAGGTAGAAGGCGTTCTGAACTGGGAGGCACAGTCACTGCAATAAAAGATAGGGTGTCCCTTGTCCATGTTTTTCAGAAACTTTGTCCCGCCCGTTTTCCTCAGCTGGTACTTGACGTTGGCCAGCCAGTGGCTGATGGTGGTCATGGAGAGCCCGGTGAACTTGGAGATCTGCATGCGCTCCTGAGGGCCCAGGTCGGAGAGCAGGTACTTGCCCTCGGACGTCTGGAAAAGGCTGGAGGCGAACTGCGCCTGCAGAATCAGAAGATGCTGAGGGTTCCAGTTGGACTGCCGGCCTTTCCTCTTATGCAACGTGGACACCTCGCTGGAGACGTCCTCGAAGCGCCTGACGTCCATTTCCAGCTTCACCGGGGGCCCGCGCGAGGAAGCGGCGGGCTTGGGCGTGGTGGCCTTGGGGAGGACCTTGACCATGTCGGCGATGTCAGACAGAGCGTGCTTCTGAGGGGGGGACGTGCAGGATTGTGCTTGCGAGGACTCGGCTTTCTTGCTCTTGGACTTGGTCAGGTCGATGGGCTGATCGTTGCTCTCGAACAGGTAGCGCCTGGACACGCTGGCCGGCCGCGTGGGGGCGGGACTCAGGCCCGGCTTGTCCACGACGCTGAGAGCCGACTTGTGGAACATCGAAATTGTGCTTGAGCTCGGGCTGGAGCAGGAAGGGGAGCGCAGGGGTTCCGTGGCCTTGCCCAGGTGGTTGTTGAGGACGGACTGCAGGGCGCTGAGCGGGTTGATGCACGGCAGGGCCGGCGCCCGCGGGGGGAGCGCGCATCCGTTGCTGAGAGGGGGCGCGGGCTCCAGGGGCGCGCGTTTCTCCGGCTCGCCGCCCTCCTCCCCCAGCCTGGCCTCCTCCTTCAGCAGGCAAGGCTCGGCCTTCTTGGATTCCGACGGGGTTTCGCTTTTGGCGAAAGCGTCCGCATCGCTGTGGCTGAAAGGCGACGCCTCCTCCTGGGGGCTCTCTTTCCCGCACTCCTTGGCGGCTTCCTCTTTGTCGTCCGGCTCCTTCTTCACTTGGGTGTATGGGGCCAGGTTGGCGGGCACGGAGACCAGCGGCATCACTTTCCACTTGGGGGCAATGGGCCTCAGCTTGTTGGGGAGGTTAGGCCGGATCTGCAGGACTTGGGATCCCAGGGGCAGAGCAGGCTTGGCGCCCTCGGCCAGCTGGTAGGCTGCGTGGATGCTGGGGTACGCGCTCCAGCTGGGAGCCCCGTTCTGGGCCTTGTTGATGGCTGTGGTGACGGTATTTTCCAGTGACTTCAGAATGTCCCCTCCGCCCTTGGAGCCGTCCTCCAGGTCCTCCTCCCTCAGATACTGATATTTCACGGTGGGGTCTAAAGGCTTTTGCAGGGGATCGTCATACTCCTCCCGTTTCATGCCTTTCTCATCCTTATTGCTCTCCTCCGGTTTCTCCTTCTTGCCCTCTTTCTTCAGCTCGGGGGTTGGGGCTGCCCCCTCGGAAGCAGAGTTACCCAAAGGCTTGGGAGCGAGCGAGTCACTGCTCGGGGTGTCGGACAGCGACTGCATCTTCTCCACGGCCAGGGGGTCCAGCACCAGCTGCTTGCCCTTCTTGGAGGCCGAGCTGGTGACCTTAAGGAAGTGGCCGGTGACCATCATGTGGGTGGTGAGCTGCTGCAGGGTGTCGTGTGAGCTCCCGCACTCCATGCACTTGAGGATCTGGGACTTGCAGGCCTCGAACTGCCACGTGTAGCTGGCGCCGTTCTGGTAGCCGTAGCGGTTGTTGGAGGAGAGCTGCAGGCCGGCGGGCTTCTGGGAGGAGAACGGGTCCGCCAGCGAGCCCGTGGTCGAATCAGGGGAACACGGCCGGTTGACGTCGAAGACGCGTTTCTTGGCCGGAGTGACCATTTTCGAGGAAATGGTTGGGACTGGCTCCTTCAAAGGCACTTTTTGGTAATGTTTTGTTTTTATCATGTGGACGCTCAGGTCTTGGAGGGAATCGAACGAGTCGCCACAAAACATGCACTTGAGAACCTTCTGGGCGTCCTCCTTGTCCATATCCTGGAAAGCCCGCTTCCGGGGCTTCGAGTAGCTGGCGGGGCGCAGCTTGTCCTTCTTGCGGTTGTCGTCTTGGTAGTGGCCCGTCTCGTTCATGTGCACGGTCAGCTCGACCAGCGTGTCGTAGGCGGCGCTGCACTGTCGGCAGCGGAACCGGCTGGCCCCGGTGAACACCGTCCCGCACATCTTGCTGCTCTGGCGGTACAGCTGCACGGAGCTGAACAGGCTGGGCTTCCCCACCGACCGGGACGGCAAGTTCTGCTGGAGGCTCTTGGACAGCGCGTCCTGGTGCCAGTCGAAATCCGTCTTGCTGCTGCCATTGCGGGTGTCGCAACTGCGCCGCTCGCCGCTGGACAGCTTGAAGCCGAGGCCCAGGCCCGACCAGTAGGAATCCGACAGGATGTTGGCGTAGACGGCGGTCATTTTATCCATGCAGTTGTGGCTTTCGTTGGGCAGCTTGGGGTGCACGCCGGCTTTCTGGTCCAAGGCATCCCGACCGCAGACGCTCTTGGCGTCCGACACCTGATCGCTGGCATCGCTCAGCAGAGACTCGTTCTCCGCATCCTGGTTGGACAAGTGGCTCCCGGGAGAGTTCTGGTAGCTGAAGCAGCCCTTCTGCTCCGGGCCCGTTTCTAGCTCCTCGTCTGTCCCTGGGTCATTGCTGCCCTGAAACTGAGCTACCGAACGGCTGTCCTCCTCTTCCTCCTCTTCTTCTTTTATTTCCTCCTCTTCCTTCAGCTGTTCCTCCTGGGCATAGCCTGCGAGGGAAGAAGAAGAAGAGATGAGGTAAGATGACAAGTGACCCCTGCCATCCCAAGCTCCCCACTGAGACTCGGTGCTTCCGAAACGGACTGGGATAGCAGTGGAATTTACGCTTTTGTGAACTGCAAGCCATGGACACGGGAAAAAGCCAAATGATATCTTTTGTGCTATCTCATGTATTTTTTTTTTTAATAGACAGGAGTCACACATCTTTATAAATGGCCAGGATCCCAAGTTAATAGTTTTCACACTTAAGGAGTATCACTCCAATGCTCCAACAGTGGGACAGTCTCTAAGTCCATAGGTAGGACTTTCGAGAAAGCTGGATGGAAATTCCAACCCTACAAAGACAGTTCTCTCTAGAGAAGGACGTTGGCTCATAAGAAAACTAAGACTTGACCCTTAGCATCTCTGTGGTAGGGTTTCTCAAGACACTGGGATATACTGGCATACAGTTTCTTAATAAATTATTGTTGAGTGCTCACAGGTAATTTAGATGCATGGCCATTATATTTTTGATAGCCAGACTCTTTTTGTTATAACATTTTTATTTGTAGAGAGTCACACAGCAGAAAGAGAGATTATGGAGTATTGAATGAAATCTTCCATTGATAGCCTAAAAATTATGTAAGCTCAGCAAACATAATGATTTTAAAATAATAGCAAATGGTGTTGGAATGGGAGGTTTGGGGAATATTCTATTATTCTCAAACAGGTTTATGAAGACCTTTTCAGACAAGGCTGAAAATGCCCTCTCGATCTTGTGCCTGTAATTTCAAATGCTTTGTGATTTGTGGGTACCCGTCATGAGATGCCAATTATACGTTTGATTTGTAGATGCAAAATGCTATTGGGGATGCATGCCTTCCCTTCTCTGAGAGGATTTAGGACCAGTAATTGCATAGGGAAAATGAAGGCATGAGAGAGCGGGTGCAAAGGGAATTAATGGGCAAATATCCATCAACAGAGATGGGGAAAGTGACTATTTATGCCCATGTGTTCATTTCCTTCACCTGGCCTTTTCAGAGCCACGTGGATAAAATGTAACTAAAGAAGCACCAAAGCAAGGGAGACAGTCTTAGATTTGCAAGGCTTGCATCATCTCAGCGCAATGTTTTCTCTCCCTGTGAGCCTCTCTCTCCCTTCTTAGTGCAGGTGGGTCCTTGGGAGAAACCCTAGGGTGGGGGTGCTTTTCCGTTCACCAGTGAGAAAGCTTGAAAAAGGGAGATCAGGCATGGAGGTCTGTCCTGGGAGGCAGGCAGAGGGATTTAAAAGACAAGTGATTTTTTGGGGGAGGGGAGAGAAATAAGTTGGCTCCAGCCAGACACTCCAAAGGTTCCTGCTGTGGCTGCTGAAGATGACCATTTATTGAACAACTAATATCTCCTAGGAACTTTGCTGACCACCGCAAATGCCTTCTTTCATTTTGTGTGATTATCCACGTGAAGTGGGAACTATGACAAAACTGAGGCTCTGAGATTAAGAAATTTACCCAATGCCACAGAACTAGAGTCTCAGAGTAATGACATTTTTCTGGTCTGTTTGATGAGAGAATCCGTGGTCCTAACCATGCCACCCCACTCTCTATGACCAGCCTCACCAATAAGAAAACTTCGTGGAGAAGTTTCCAAAAGTTAAAGATTCATTGAAATGTCACTAGATTGACAATCACTTCGGAGGGGAGAATTATGGGAATGCTGGAGATAAGAGCCTATGATTTCAAAGGCATGATATAGGGTGCCCGGGTGCTCAGTTGGTTAAGCATCCGATCCTTGATTTTAGCTCACGTCATGATCTCAGGGTGGTGAGACTAAGCCCTGTGTCAGGCTCCAAGCTCAGTGGGGAGACTGCTGAGGTTCTCTCTCTCCGTCTCCCTCAGCCCCTCCCCACCCCGTGTGCACTGTCTCTCTCTCAAATAAATATTTTTTTTTGAAAAAGCATGATACCATAAAAAAAGAGGAAATGAAAAAACAGTTTAGCCACTAGCTTGGTGATTTTGCTCATTATTGTATTGTTACTGGTGTTGTGTTTTTGCTTTCCTAGCAAGCTGACAAGTTTTTCGTTAAACTGGTGTTGCTGGTCTCCAGTTGCTGGTCTCCAGTTCCATACATTGACTTGAAAAAACAAAAGCTACTCAATCTAGTTGGGCAGCCATTCATCAGTGGTCACTGCTTGCAGGAAAAACTCCACTTCAAACGGCCGGATGTCTACGTTAGACACCCCCATCCTCATTGCATTTGATTTTTCCAGGACCAATTTGTATGTTTGCAAATTAGTATTTGGTATGTTAGTCATATCATTAAGTTCAAGGAGAGAGCCTATTATAAAATTAATAAATGAGTTGTTACAGAGCCAAGCAAAATACTCCAGAGTCAGGCAAATTTTATCAATCAAACAGGGTCACTTCTGAGAATTCAAAGAGCTTTATTGCTCAAAAACTGGGACAACACTCATTAGCCAAGCCTGTTCCAGGCCAACCGAGACATAAGTTACCACATCCCTGAGTAATATGATCACAGCATCACAGCATCACAGCAACACATGCGTGCGTGTGCGCGCGCACACATACACACACCCCTACACACGCAGAGCCAGTGGAAAAAAAAAATCTATTAGGGAAAAAGAGGACTTTCCATCACTGTAATGGGTTAAGAGCATGGTCAGGTTTTACGCATCTCAGTATTTGCGGTGCCTAGCACAGAGCCTGACATTTGGTGGGAAGCAAGTCATGTTATTGTGTGTGTGTGTGTGTGTGTGTGTGTGTGTAAAGTAGGCATGCATGAGTGTATGTACACGAGTGTATGTGTGCACGCACACTCCCCCCACCCTAATCTGCCCACCCAATATAGTCATTTTCACACAAGGAGAGAAGAGGTGGGTTTTTTTGCTTTTTGTTTTTTTTTTTCCCCTGGCTGACATTTGGAAGCTGAGCTTTTCGGACCAGCTCAGCTCTCCAATCTACTTTGTCCTTCTAAATGGATTCCCCAGAAGAAAAGTCAGAGACAGCAAACGCCTCCCCCACAATACAGATAAAATTTTCTGCTTAATTAGGCATTGACATGTTTACTATAACCTTTACAGAAGAGTAACTCGTGCTGAGAGACCCTTTTTGTCTGTTTTCGTCTGCAGAACAGACTAAATCTCATGCACCCGATAAGGTAACGCATTGAAAAGCTTCATAAGAAAGTGCCAAAGCATCCGTCAAAGCGAGTGTATTTTAACGATGGCTGAGGGTTCCAAGGAGTTTTTAAAAACACATTTTAATATTATACATTTAAAGCCGCTCGCTTGACTTAAGTGATTTCGTGTGCCACCGGCAGCTGACGCGAGAGGAAAGACAGCCAGAACATGGGTGATCTGGGTGTGTAATGAGTATCTGTCTCTCTCTCGCTATAGATGATTTGTTTAATACGATTGCATCGTGTGTAAATCTTGGTAAAGTGGATGAGTGGCAAGTTTATTCTTATGAATACTTATTCAACAAAAGAAGATGATCACAATTACGTGAAGGCACAATGAAAAGAACTGTTCTCTGGAGAACCTCCTTGTGGATCTCAGGTTCAAGATCAAACTCTGTGGTGGCAAACATCTCCCTTTCCAACCTAAATTTCGAATCTCATCCCTTGCTGCTGCCGGATCCTGGCCACATGACGCTTGCCCATCCCCAGGATGGCGAATTCCTAAGCAAACCCTCTCAGTGCTCTAAGGGATTGACTCCACGGATGGTTTCCCTTGTACATGACCACCGCGCCCACTGTGCCGCCATTATTCTTCCCTAGGGTGAGTAAGTGGCCTTCCTGCTTCTGTTTCCTCCAGGTTGTTTTTCAGAGAACAGCTAGAATATTCTTTCTCAAAAGAATAAGGTATTGGGTGGTGACATCGTTCTGTTTTAACCCCTGCATTGTCTTTGTGCTGCACTAAAAATGAAATCCAAACCCTTAGCATGGTCTGCAGAGCTTGTAAGACTTGGCCTTGACTTCCCTGCTCGATTTTTCTATACCCTCATTCTGCTTTCCACGCCCAAGGGGTGACATTGTACTCGCTCCTTCCTGAACCTGCCAATCCCTTCCCTGATGTGGTTCTCTACAGCTGCAGACCTCTCTGCCTGGAAAGTTCTTTGGACCTTCACGCTGTGATTCCTTTTCATTCTTCAGGTCTGTGCTTACAGGGTCTCTTCTGGAGAAGCCTGTCCTGACCAGTCTCCCCTTCTCTGCATAACTCCAGATCACATCCCCCTGCTTACTGAGATCCGGTGGCACCCACCCAACTCTGAAATCCTCTTGTTTCCCCATGGCTTGATTCTTTCCTCCCACTAAATGCGAAGGGGAAATATTTGTCTCCCAGGAAGACAGAGACCTTGCTTCTCCCAGCACTCAGACTGCATATTGGCACAGATAGGTGTCTGAAAATTATCTGAGCAGATGAATGAATAGATCATACTAAAGCAAAAGGATTATTCCAGTTGCAAACTCTGCCCCCATGTCCCTGGAAGGTGTAACTGTTACCTGTTATGGACAACGCTCCCTCCCCTCCCCTTCAATATAGATCAGGTGCGAATTACAACCATCCCCGATGAGCTCTCTCAACGATAAAACCAGAACAATCCCATAAATCATCTTTTCAGACCAACATAGCCACCAACATTCTTGTTGCCAGAAAGCCCTGAGCTGTGAACTTAAACTCTTAAGTAGGAAGACTGAAAAGAAGCATCAAGACTGCAAAGCATCAGAAAATGTGCTCTTAATGTGAGCAGACTTTGATTCCAAAAAGACTCACATGTGGGAACTTTCAAAGTATGGACGAATTTTGTCACGAATGAAGTACACTAGCTGTTCCATGATATAGATTCTGCAAATATTAAGTTGGTCTTCTCCTGAATTCTTGATTTTACAAAGAAATGTCACCTGAGAAATATATTTTGCATGCTGTGAACTTTTTACCCTATTAGTGTATGGTTAAAATTCAGAAATAAATTCCTAAATTTTAGAAATTTTCTCTTCTATCAAAGATTAAAAAAACAAACAAAAGAGAAACAATTTTTTTAAAATTATGATTTCAATTGTTCCAAGAATGTCTGTCTCTTCAGAATGAATTAAATGAAATTGTGCAAAATAATTCCTGGGTGGCATGGTG